CTGGCTCTGAGACCAGCCTGAGAACAGCAGTGAGGGCTGCAGGGCTCTGACTCAAATGACTCAGCCAAAAAGAGGAAATATTTCACATGATTACAGAAGAATTTGGTAGGAATATGAAGCTGCAAGTGCTATCAAAACGTCTACTGCAATTTAATAGCAGAGCTAAGCCACAAACCTCTGAGCCTTTGTAAGAAGGTGCGTGAACTCTACAGAAGGGAGATGCTGCAACCAAATAGTGCAATAAACAAAAATCCTCAAACAGCCATTTAATGTCTCTCTCCCGCAACACCGTAGCCTTTACATTTATTGTCTAGAATATCATGTATGAGCTCTAAGTGATAGAAAATACACCTGAGGTTTGCTCAGTGCATCAATATATCATTCTTCTCACAGGGAATTAGTGACTGAACAAGAGGGAACGGCTGGAAACTGCCCCAGGGGAGGGTCAGGCTGGGCAGGAGGAGAAAATGTTTCCCAGCAAGAGTGGTGCGAGAGTGGAACAGGCTGCCCAGGGAGGGGGGAGTCCCCATCCCTGGGGGGGTTTCAGGGCCGTTGGGATGAGCTGTGGGGGATGTGGGGTAGGGGAGAACTGTGTAGAGTCGGGCTGAGGGTTGGACTCAATGATCCCGAGGGGTTTTTCCAACCTGAAGGATTCTGGGATTCTGTGAATATTCTGTGACAACGACCAAAGCAGCAGCCCAGGCAGCAAAGACACGGAGTCGGCAGCAGCACTGTACGTTCACCCTTACTAACAGACTATAGCACTATGGAAAAAGATGCAGAGGATTCAGAGGGAACCTGGAAAAGCCTATGGAAGGAAATTCCAGCTGCCTCTACCCAGGACTTCCTGGGCTAAATCAGGTGGCAAGGTAGCAGGGACAGAAGGCTCGGTCATAGGCAAAAGGTGCCTTTCTGCAGGGAGCTGAGCTCTGAAGCAACCTGCATCAGCACACAGAAATGAAGATATTTCAGACAGAAGTATTTTTTGTTTTGTAATTGCATCGTGGAGCAAGAGGGTCTCCACTGGAGTTTCTGCATATTACAAAACCACGGATTGCTTGGGAATCTGGCGTGAAGAGGCAGAAGGCTTGAGATGATCTGCAGACCTCGCAGAAGTATCTGCCCCAAATTTACCCGGAGAAAGCTTTCCTGATGCTCTGAGGGCTCTCAATTTACAAAATCAATACATTAACTTTGATAACGAGTCTCTAATCATCATTTGCCACCTAACAACAAGCCGAGCAGATGGGGAGCCGCATTTCTATCATGCTCCCTCTTCCACCGCAGCCACTGCTAAAAGCAAAGCGAAGTTCTGGTGGGAAGTGTGAACATTTCCAAGTGGCTGAAACCCGGCTCCATCTGCTCGAGCAGACGGGACGGAGCGACACAGTGGGAATGACAAAGTAGCCGTGGCAGGGGACGGATTGGGAGCCGTGCACGTACCTCTGGGCTGTATCGCAGGGCGAGCCTTTCCTCTTCCGAGAGTCGGGGTTGGCAGGGTCTGTTGAGCTGTCCCCAAGGCCACTCATGTTGGTTGACCTACTTTGCACCTGAAACCGAAGAGAGACAGGGTAAGGACAAGCTTTTTGCAGCTGCAGGAGCGGTTCCTCTGCGGCAGAGCCAGAAAACCTGGACCAAGTGACCTCTGAAGAGGTAACTAACCCAGTGCAAGGCTTTCTTGTTGAAGCGATGCCTCGTTTGTGAAGGACACGGTGCAAAGGGAAGACAACACATGATGACATTACCCTCATCACCATTTGGCCAAGTGTGCCCTCACCACCAGCACCATCATCCTTACGCCACAGTCTGAGCTCTTCCCTGTATACCCCCCGATTTTAGCTTCCTGGCCTTACAGCATTTTAACAACCTAAACACAGACTGTTTCAGTGCTTTGGTTTTGTGTATTTGATGGCTTTTATGTTGTTTCTTTCTCCTTCAGCCCATCTTCAGCTCCTCTGCCATCTCCCCTCGGTTCCTCTGACTCACGGTTGGCAGAGGACACTCCACCCCTTACACTGTGTCTGCACTCCTGCTCCCCCACCACCTCATTCCCCTCAGCACACGGCCTGGGCTTTAATTAGAGCTGCAAACTGACTCATCTCTGAACGGGATGTGACACCCTCCCACAAATCCCTTCCCCACCTCCCGCTGAGGCTGCCTCCCACGTATGGTCCTGCCAGCCCCAACCTTCTCCTGGCAAAGAGCTTCCCACCATGGCCAGTCCTATGATGGTCCCAACATGGGGCACCTTCTGGGATCCAGCCCCCTCCAACATATGGACATTTCACCCTTATTTTTAGGGTGCAATTTCATCAGATGTTAGGTAGACTAGTCCACCCTATGGCAAAGGAGAGGTCTAAGCAACTAAACAAGGTCCAGAAGTCATGAGGATTGTAACACTGCTAATTCTCCTTAATTATGAATTATAATTTTTATATTTAACTGAATAAAATACTACGTAAGCCCAAAAAGGGCAAGAAAGCCAATTAAGGCTTCTTTCTGGACACTTCATCTTGAAGGATGTTAAAGGTTTGGCCAAAGACCAGAACGCTCTCTGGAATCAGAACTCCAACTGCCATACAATCCCATCCCATACAACATGTTAAATCAAGAGACAGAGCTTCTCTAGGAAAGAAATCAGCTATGCATGTTGCTTCCTGTGCTTTGCCGAAGACATTCAGTGATTTTTCCAGGAACCACAATAATTCAATACTGGATATTCCCACCCTCAAAACCTATTTATTTATTTTAGAAGTGTTTCTCAATGTGAGAAGACACAATCCCTGAGAAATAAGTAACAGTACCCTGGACAAGAAGTTAGTAGCTTAGAGAGTAAAAGGACTAAGTTCTTCAACTTAATTCCTTTCATTTCTTCCATTACTTTTTAAAAGCTGGAATTTTAACGAGCATTACACTGCTGACAGATTGTGATAAAACGAACCCTAGAAGGCACATCCACAGTTCCCACAGCCCAGATTCCCACCATGCTCTATTCAGCCTGCCAGAAAGCATGGTGAGATGCCTTTGGTGGTCCAGCACCTCCCACCCGCTGCCCAGCTCAGCACAAGGCGTCCACTCATCAGCCACCATTGGCACTGGCTCACCTCACGCTCAGATAGGTGATGACTGAAGTCCCACCAGCTTTTGTAAATCCTCCGAGTCCCAAACTCCATCTGCAGACCAGCTCCTCCCACCCTCAGGGCAGGGCAGAGGGATGGACACAGCCATGAGCATCTCCTCTGCTCCGTGGTTGCTTGAAGACCCCAGTGTTTGTATTCAAACCCAGAAACCCCCCGTATGCTGGGCTAACCCAGAGCAGGGCGGGCAGCAGGGCCGGGGGGGGATTCTCCCCCTCTGCTCCGCTCTGTGAGACCCCCCTGCAGGGCTGGGTCCAGCTCGGGGGCACCAACAGCAGAAGGACACGGACCTGCTCCAGCGGGGCCAGAGGAGGCCACGGAGATGCTGGGGGGGCTGGAGCCCCCCTGTGAGGACAGGCTGGGAGAGTTGGGGGTTCAGCTGGAGGAGAGAAGGCTCTGGGGAGACCTTAGAGCGGCCCCCAGGGCTGAAAGGGGCTGCAGGAAAGGGGGGAGGGACTCCTCATCAGGGGGGAGGGATAGGATGAGGGGGAA